ACAACAAATCAAATGTAAATCCATTGCAAAGTGAAATTTCAAGCCTTGCAAAGGATACAGGATTTCCTGAAATGATATTGAAGACTCACTAAAAACACTTTCAACCCATTGATAAAGGGGTGTGTGTGTGTGTGGGTGTGTGTGTGTGCGCGTGCAATGGGTGTGTGTGTGTGTGGTGTGTGTGTTTGTAGAATACTTAGAAAATGCTTACTACGTTTCAGGACTGTTGTAAGCACCTGCATATATTCATTGACTCCTTACTCCCACCTTATAACATAGGTGCCAGTATAATTCCCATGATAGGCAAGGGACCAAAAGCACAGGAAGTTTAGTCCAAACCAAGGAGTCTGGCCCTGGAGCACGTGTTCTTCATCACTATGCTCTACTGCCTCTAATTAGATCAGTGGAGAAAGAACCAGTGACAGGAAATCCAAAGGAGGAGAATGAGCACCTCAAAAGAGAGAGATTTCCAAAGGATAAAGAATGCTCTTGTGCAGAATTGATAAAAACTGTCAGCTAAGCAGTGTAGGCACTGGTTATGACCATGGGCTCTGGGGACAGACTGCTTGAGCTTCAACAACGTCTCAGCTGTGTGACCTTGGACACGTTACTCAACATCTCTGTGCCTCAGTTTCCTCATCTATAAAGTGGAGATAATAGTATCCACCTAAAGCACTGTTGTGTGGGTTGTATGATTAAAATAACTGTAAAAGTACTTAACATATACAATGTAGTCAGTAAATGTTAATTATTATTATAAACGAACAGTTGAAAAAACAGCTCCTTTTATGATCCTTTTCCAAAAATTAAGCATGAAAAATGTCATGTCTTATGCCATTCTCCAAATTTGGTTGGATAATTTATTCTAAAAGGCCTCTAACATTTGTTTCATTTTTTTCCTTCTAAAATTACCACATGGTTACAATTATGACAAAAATGTCTTTAAATAAAACATGAAATGAATTTATTTACGTGATTTTTAGTTTTATTTTTCAAGGTAAAACCTGAATAGCAGTTTCTTCATATGCATACCCTAAACAAACAAACACAAAAACGAAAACACAACAAAACAGAAGTTCCTGTGGAGTCAGTGCCAACTCACGGAGACCCCACATGTGTCAAAGTAGAACTGTTTTCCCTAGAGTTTTCAGTGGCTGGTTTTTGGGAGCAGATCACCAGACCTTTCTTCTGAGATGTCTTTGGGTGGACTCGAGGCTCTAATCTTCCTCTTAGCAGCTGGCACATTAACATGTGTAGCGCTAGGAACTTCCTTCCTGCCCCCCCCGCCACACATCTTACTTACTCTGAAGTAGTTTTTTTTTTTTTTTTAAAGTATGGTAAAATACGTATTACAAAAGTTTGCCATCTTAGCCATTTTTAAGTGCACAGTTTAGTGACATTAATTATTTTCACCTTGTTGTGCTACCATCACCACTACCCATTTCCAAAAGTTTTACATCACCCCAAACAGAAACTCGGTACCCGTTTAGCAGTAACTCGCACTCCCTCCTTCCCCAGCCCCTGGTAACCACTAATAAACTTTGATCTCTATGCATTTGCCTATTCTAAATATTTCACGTAAGTGGGATCATACAGTATTTATCCATTTGTGATTGACACCTCACTTAGCATAGTGATTTCAAGGATTATCCATGTTGTGGCATGCATCAGGACTTCATTTCTCTTTATGGCTGAGTAATATTCCATTGTATGTATGTACCACGTTTTATTTACGCATTCATCTGTTGTTGGGTGTTGGGTTGTGTCCACTTTTTGGCTATTGTGAATACTGTTGTAGTGAACACAGGTGTGTAAGTATCTATTGAATCCCTGCGTTCAAGTCTCTTGGGTATATACCTAGAAGTAGAATTGCTGGTCATATGATAATTTCATTTTTAGCTTTTTGAAGAATCACCAAACTGTCTTCCGCAGTGGCCTCACCATTTCGCATTCCCATCAACGATGAATGAGGATTCCAGTTTCTTCACATCCTACCAACAGCTGTTGTTTTCTTTTTTTTCCTGATAGTAGCCATTCTAGAGAGGTGAGGTGGTAACTCATTGTGGTCTTGATGTGCATTTCCGGGTTGCTATAAGACAGAGGCAACTCAACGGCAACAGGTTTTAATGACTACTGGCACTGAGCATTTTTTAATATTCTTATTTTTTAATCTCTTCTTTGGAGGAAAGTCTATTCAAGTCCTACTCTGAAATTTTGGTTACTGTTTAAGTGGATCACCTTGTCACAGGCAGTCCCCAGATTACGAACAAGTTCTGTTCCTAAGTATCTTTAAGTCAAATCTCTATGTAAGTCAGAACATTTATGTACAGTTCATATCTTACGTCAGTTAGTCAAGTGTTTGTCTTAGTATATAGTACATAGTGTACCTTTCTGTGCCTAAAAAACATTTTAAAAAACTTCCAGATACACTAAAACATCTTTAACATAAGAATACAGTAATAATAATAATGTTTTGATGCGTGTCACAAAGGTAGCGCCCATTTGTTATTATGAACCATTGTATGTATCTTGAATTTTTAATGTAATAGGCATTATGGGGGTTGGTTAATAACTATGGGTTGTATGTAAGTCGGACGTTCATAACCCGGGGACTCCCTGTGCACGTAAAGTGCAAGGCATAGATTGAACACTCAATACTTGTTAGCAGGTCTGTTATTAACTTGTTATTATTTCTGATAGGAGGGAATGTCATGAGCAAAGTATAGCTATAATAACATACATAGTCTGTTCAGGATTTGTTCCATTTTTTCTGTAAACATTAAGCACCTACTCTGAATTGGACTGGACATAGAATAGGTGCATGGATGTGAAGGGAAATTGAATATATTTCTCCCCGTCTTCCTCCTCTCCTCCCAGCTCACTCACAGACAGACACACGCGCACACACTCACTCATGCACACATTCAGGCACACTCACGCACTGACACACTAAGAGCTAACTGTCTAATTAAGGAGTCAAGTATAAACAGAGAATTACAGTACATTGTACTTCATAAGTGCTGTAATGGAGACAAAGTTTATGTGACTCTAGAAGAGCGAGTACTTTCCTTTGCTTAGGGGATTTGAAGGTTTCACTGAGAAGGTCACGTTTGAGCTGGATGATAAACCAGCCTGGTTTTAGGAGAGGAAGCTCACCTGCTGAGGAGTGAGCTGTAGTTTGGAAATGTAGGTTGCTGTGCAAATATAGAGGCTCATGATTGCCCAAGTGTAGTCGTGTGCATGTTATCCCTGAGTCATGGGAACCAAGGAAGGTTTTGAGGTTTTTTTTTTTTTTAAATAGAGGTTTATGGAGGTATAATTTACATAGAGTAAAATTCACCCCCTAAGCTTAATGTTTTGACAGATGTATATAGTCCTGTAACCACCACCACAATTAAGGTATAGAATTTCCATCACCCCAAAAAGTTGTCTTGTGCCCGTTTGCACTCAGCCCTTCACCTCAGTCTCTGGCAACAACTGAGCTGATTGATCTGATTTCTGTTTCTTTTCCAGAAGGTCATATGAAGTCATAGTACATAGCCTTTTATGTCTGCCTTCTTTCACTTACTGTAATGTTTTTGAGGTTCATCCATGTTGTTGCATATATCGGTCATTTGTTCATGGACAGTTTTTTTTTTTTAAAAGAGTTGTATGATGCTTTAGGAGATTAATCTGCTAGTGGTGATATATAAAACAGATTAGAGAGGGAGAGTGGCCATGTCAGACCTGTTAGAACAATTGTAATTCAGGTGTGAGGTGATGAGGGCCAGAAGTGATGTAGGGACAAGGGAAACGGAGAAGGGGGGATTCACAGAACATTCCGTTTAAGTGTGAAGTCCCAGGGTGGCACAAATGTTTAAGCCCCCGGCTATTAGTCTCAAGTCCACACAGAGGCTTCTAAAGGTCATAGCCTTGAAATCCCTATGGAGCACAGTTCTACTTTGACACTCCTGGGGTCACCATGAGTCAAAATGAATTGACAGCAACTGGTTTGTTTATTTAGTTTTTTCCATTTAAGTAGAGCAGTGGAGCTAGAAGTTGGAGTGCCTTGGACTGCAGAGTTTTAAGGAATGAGCAGGGAGATAAGTTAGAAAAATACAGTAGGTTTAAACTATTCACTTAGAAGTTTTTGTAGCCAATGAGAGGAGGAGAGGAGGAATTGGGGGAGGTAGCCCCATTAGAGCTTCGTGGAAACCTGGAGAACACTTCTGCATGGTTATAGGCCGAGGAAAAGAAACCAGAGGGGAGAGAGGACCTGGAGGTTACTGGAGAGGGGCAGAGAAAAACTGCAGGGGCAAGGAAGAGCAGGGAGCCAGTTGTAGGTGGAGAATACTGAGAAGCACATTTATTTTACCTAAAGGAAGAATTCAAGGACAGACTCTGACATGAGCTCCGCCCTGGAAAGTGGCTCTAGTGGATTCAGTAGTTTGCCAGCAAGGTGGGGCTTGAGGAATCCAGCAACTGGATGATGTTTCCCTAAAGTTTTTACTTTTTACTCTGTTTTGACGTTCACTAAAGCAATTAAGTTACCTTCATGTGTCACAATTTCTGTATTTTGCAAATTTAAGATAATGTTTGATAATAATGAATTGTAGTAATATATAATTTATTTGCAATATTTTCTAATATATTCAGTAGAAAAGACTCTATACTTAGGAACAAATTTCTTGAAAGAAAACAATCTTTTTCTCATATCAGGTAAACTTTCCTAGACTTTTGAGACGACCAAAAGGTAAAAAGGAAACGCTCTTGTGCAAACCTGAATTGTGTCTGTGGGTTTTTTTAAAAAAAACAAAAAAAACTTGTAACTTCAGGCACAAATGATCCACTAAACACGAGGAAATTAAACCTTATGATAGACACTCATAAAGTAAGATAAAATGGTAAAATACAAGTCTGGTCTCATTTACTCTGCCAACTACGATGACAAAAAATGCAATAAAAAAAAAGTGAAAAATTATAAGGATATTAAAATAATCCCACCTTGGATTTTTCTTTAGTTTTGCTCCTGGAGAAGATAGAGCATGACAGTGACGTCTGCCATAAAACGTTGAAGATTACAGATTTTGGGCTAGCAAGGGAGTGGCACAGGACAACCAAAATGAGTGCCGCCGGCACGTATGCGTGGATGGCGCCTGAAGTCATCAAGTCCTCCTTGTTTTCTAAAGGAAGTGATATCTGGAGGTAAGCACCGTGTGCTTTTGCAAATTTCTG